GTTATACACAATGAAAGATTTGCCTGGCAGTGTGCTTTGTCCTCAAAATACTGTCTTCTCTCTGTTAATTTCTTCTCAGCCCACATTTCTATGTGAAGTAAACTGCTTTGTGTCCAGAGCTCATTGAGTAAAAAAAAAAAAATAGAAATATAATGGTAATAGGACACACTATTTAATATGAATTATAGGGAGTCTCTAATTTATGAATTTATGGGCAAAGGTATATTTATAAGTTGATCGATTAAAGCCTAACCCATTTTTCTCATTGGATGTGCATTTTAAACAGGTTGAAAAAGCCTATGTGGGCAATAAGAAGGTGCTACAAAGCATTAGAACGCTAATGAGACCCAGCCTGAGTCCGATTAGTGGGATAAGGCTATAAGATAAGGCAGTATCCCACCTTCTTTTCCCAGCTGTAGACTAAGAAATAGAAAACGTGTTGAAAATAAAATATGTCAGTGTGAGCTTATTACCTTTTATTCGTAACTGGTGAAATTTTAGTAGTTTAGTACGATGAACTGAACATATCTAGGGAGGTGGTCATATTTTAATGTTGACAGGCTGTTTGTCATCAGGAATTTTTGTATGTGAATGTAATTTGTGGGGGATGATTGGCAAAGCAACAGGAGTTGATGCTGGACAGGAAGGACGCTAGGCTTTGCTGTCCACTGGCGCGTCCTCTTGGGTGACTCCCAGGGGTGCAGCGATGTGTGTGGGACATCACGGTCAACGGGGTGTCAGGGGGCCCGCTGGGGGAGGCCTTCGCATTCAGTGGGCTCTCTCATTCTTCTTTTTTGTAAGTTCAGTACGTTCTTCAGAGTTAAATGAATGAAACTGCTTACGAAGACATGAACAACCTTCTTAGGACATTGTATTGTCATCTTGTCTTCTACCTCCAATAATCCAGAACTCCCTACTGAGTGAATATTTTGAGAGGGGAAAGGTGAACGGCATCCTACGGGGACCTGGGTAGAATGGAAGGTTTCTAGAACATGATCATGGAGACTGGCTCAGCTCACCCCGTCAGCTCCTTCTGGAGAGGTCTACAAGGGCCCCCCACTCTTTCAGGCAGTGTCGAACACTCACTGTACACCGGGCACACCCAAGGAATGCTTTTCTCCCTGTAGCTCAGGAGAATAAGAACAGCGATGACTGCTTTTGGCTGTCTATACCCCTCAACATGGATTTATCGCCCACATTTGGAAGATGAGTATAAAGCTGGTTTAGTTTCTGGGTTTCTGGTGCCTTGTTTTAAGAGGAAGTCACACTTCAAGCAGCTATGTCATTTTAGATTTGCCTTTCGGAAACAGCTGTCAACTTTGATTTTTCTCACTGCTGGAAAATCGGACTCAGACATCATCTCTGGGCACTTGCTTTGTGCTTCATTGTGCAGATCAGACTTCCGTAGCGCTTTGTGATTTGTGACAGGCAGGTAGCCCCAGACACGCCTTTTTGTCAGGCCCTATTTTTTAAGGGTTGCTCCCCACACTAGCTGGATACCAAGAGGTACCAAGAGGAACGTGTCCACCATACACATAACCAAGTTCTACCCATCTCGAGTCAGGTTCCCTAGGGGATGAGTTTGCACATTGCTATTGCTGTCAGATCTTGTCTTTCCCTCAGAATCTTCCGAATGCTTCCCATCTCCTGAAGACAAAAAGGGCAGTGTGGGCTCATGAGCTCCAAGACCCAGGTTGGCCCTTATGGTCTCTCTTCATTCTTCTCCACGTGGCCCCACCCACACTAGCCCTGCTCATACCGACCCCACCCCATGGGCCCGACCGCACCAACCCCGCCGCACCACGGGGCCCACTCACATTGGCCTCACCCACACTGGCCCCGCCCACACTGGCACCTCACTGCTTCTCCAGGACCACAAGACCTCTTGCCCCTAGCATTTCTGCACTTGTGTGTCCCTCTCTCTGAAAATCTATTCCCCTGTGCACCCACGTGGCGTGTTCCTGCTGCTTCACCTCCTTTAGGGCTTAGCTCACAGGAGTCACCGTCACTTTGGGGAACAACTTCTTCTGCTGGCAAGCACTCTCTTTCATTTATTTCACCCTGCAGATGTTCTTAGCCCTGGCACTGTGAACGGTATGTGTCTCCCAGCCTTCTTGTATCTTGTAGTGTTCATCCAGATCGACTTCAAATGGGAGATTCGAAGAAGTCTACCTCTTCAAGGATGGCTGCCACTAAAGTGTGGTCCTTGGACCAGCATCAGCCTCACTTGGGAACTTGTTAGAAGCACAAAATGTCAGGCCCACTCCAGACCTACTCAATCAGAATGTGCAGGCAGTGGTCAATTTACATCAAATCAGCTGGGCCATGGTGCCCAGATGTTTACTCAAACGTTATTTTTAGATGTTTCTGTGCAGGTGTTTTTTGGACGAGATTAAGATCGAACTTGGAGGACTCTGAGTAAAGCAGATTGCCCTTCCTCTTGTGGGTGGGCCTCACTCAGTCAGTTGAAGGCATGAATGAAACAAAATCTAACGTATGTGGGCAGGAAGGGATTCTGCCAGCAGTTGGCCTTCAGACTTGAGTAACATCATCGGATCTTCCCTGGGTCTCCAGCCTGCCTGCCCACCCTGCAGATTTTGGATGTGCCAAGGCTGCGCCATCTCGTGAGCCAATTCCTTAAAATAAATCTTCCTCCCTCTCCGTGTATATACACTCCTGTGGGTTCTGTTTCTCCAGAGGACCCTGACGGATACATTTTTAACAGGATCCATAGGAGAAGCGCTAACCTAAATAAACTCTTCTGGTAGAATCATTTTGATGGGTGCTGCCTTCAGCTGTTTGTAGTTTTATGCGTTTAATTATGTAACAGGACATGAGTGTTGTATATTATGGTAATTATTTTAATGCTATTCAGTAGCCATCTCCTGGAGAACAATAATCCAGAGAACTATTGATTATGCTGATTCTATTTTAGGATGAAAATGTCTTAGACTCATTTTTCTAGTTTCCGTAGGGTAGAAGTTGGTGGGCTTTCCCTCTGTCACCCCACCCAGCATAAACGGGATCTCTTTCCCCCTCAGACCTTTACCTTCATGGCCTTCAGACACGTTGGGCCCCCTTAAGCACACATAGTATTGCATTCAAGTTCACACACGGATGTGGTCAGTTTGCCGGTTGTGTTTGCGTGTGTCTGTTTTATACAGATGGAGTCTTCGGTTCAAAGGCTATAGTCAAACTGTCTTCCAAGATGCTTTCTAAAGGCTGATCTTCGAGTGTGTGCGTTTTCACGTTTCCTTTATGGTCGGCGTTGGCCGCTCTGGTCTGTTTCAGTGGTCAGTGCTGCCATGAAGGAATGCGTGATGTCCTACGCTGCAGTTAGGAAAACTTGGTTCTGTGAGCTGCAACGCACACGAGTTCGATATGTTTTCCTAGCCTTTAATGGACTTAATCGGCTAGTTTATTCTGTCTGGCAGAATTTTACAGGGACATCTCATTATCCTACAGGGCTACGTAAATGAGTGGAGACTCCGTGTAAGCGAATTTCTAGCTGATTCAGTGATATTCCTTCAAGTGTCATGCTCTTCTAAGTTTCAACTGTTTTATAAGTGGCTTTCATATAATTTCTCATGTATATGTTTAATACCTTAGAAAAAGGAAGGCTAAAACTTTAAGAACAACTCTGATCCTTTTGTATTGTAAAACACCAGGCTCTCGTGCCATGGGGACAATCTTCTCTGAGACAGTGGCAGTGAAAGGTGCATGGGACAATTTCCTGCTTCACCGAGTGACCTCAGGCCGCTATATCTTTTGTCGTCAGCTTTATCTTTTATTTTGTCATTCCGGGATTGCTTGCTGTCAGGTCTTACAGCAGTACGCGTGCCTCAAGTGTTCTGTCTCCTGAGCTCTTTGAGTTTGGTGCTTTTAATTGGATGTGTGTTTGAAACTTGCTAGATAATCTCGCTAGAATATATTTTAATTAAGACTGAGCTCAGAGGCATGCCTTCAGAAGATGAGCTAGGCGTCAGGCAAGTACTTTCCTGCAAATGCCTTTGGGCGGCCGAAGGAGGTGAGGTTCATTTTAACCCTTGAGGGTCTCAGTTTATGCCTTTGGGTTATTTCATTGTGTACTTACTATCTGCTACGGGCTGTGTGCTGGCAACATTTGAAGATGAAGTAAACATTCTTACAGTTCTCAGAATGTATGCTGGTGGTAGATAAGTAAGAATATCCTAAAGCAAAGCAGAGACTGCAGGGTAGCATAAACACCATACTGTGGGCGTGGGAGAGCAAGAGTCTTCGTGGATTTGAGCAAACTTAACGGAAGATACAAGGGAGGATGGGAGGGTAAGATGGGAAGTGTAGTTTAGTTATGGAGTGGACGTCCCAGGAGGAAGCAAACGGTGAGCGAAGGTGGCTAAATAAAAGGTATGTGGGAGGAATGGAGTGTATGCAGCTGTGGCCAGCGTGAAACGTGTGGTGAGCATTTAGAGAGGACCGACGTGCTACCGTTCCCCGGGGAGGTTTCGTAGTCGACTTTCTGCATTGAATCGGTGGCTCTGCAATCAGAACTGTGTCACAAATCCTGGAATCATAACTCTGCCTTGCTCACGTGAGCTGCCTGACTGGTGCTTCTTTCAAATGCTTTCATTTCAGCATTCCGATCTTTCGGGGATTGGAACGTGGACCGCTTTCTGTTTCGTGGCCCTCGAAACATACCTTCCTTCGAGGAGCATTCTTTATACGCTCACTGTGTTCGTAGTAACATAGCTCCTAGAATTTCCCTGTGTGCACTGTGTGAAAACTAAGCAAACACGTACGTAATCGAAATTTAAAAACGAAGATCACGTTAGGTTTTCCTATGGGTGCCTGCTTTTACAAAATGAAGCTTTGTCCAAGAGGAACAGTGCGGCGATTTAGTTGAACTGAGTTTTGAAATATTTTGTTTTTAAAATTAGTTGTAAAATTTTCGGAACCGTGTTCTCTCGTCTTTTGGAATTTGCGTCTCTAACTGATAGCCGTGTTTCTCTTTCTGTTCGCAGCACGGCCAAGTACAGCGTGCTGACTTTTCTACCTCGATTCTTGTATGAGCAGATTAGAAGAGCTGCTAACGCCTTCTTCCTCTTCATTGCCTTATTACAGGTAATATTTCTTAAAATGTTATGTAAAATTCACACCCTTAATTACATGGGAAATGAGATTTTTGCCGAAAGGTCGCTTCACGGAGGGAGGGGTCATAATACTTGGAAGTAATCCGCTTCCTTCACCTGGTCATCGTTCGCATGGTCATCTTCGCATAAAGGCAGACTGCTCTGGGGTGCGCCTTAAGGGAAATGGTACATAATAAAAGGGGCATCGAAAACGGCGTACGGGTCATACTTTTAACCCGTTTGCTGTTCAACACATAGCGATGTTGGACAAAAATTTTAAAAATACGTAACAGGTAGTTTTTAAAATGAGATGAGTGGTTTGGGGATGACAGAAATGGAACAGAACTGCCAAAGAGTAAGTGGCGAGCACCGTATACATCTATTTTTTCGTCGAGAGGATTTTAATTTGTCAACTTCTGTCTTTTGGTCTCTTGTCTTGCAGCAAATTCCAGATGTATCTCCAACGGGAAGATATACCACCCTGGTGCCATTGATCATCATTTTAACAATTGCAGGCATCAAAGAGATTGTAGAAGATTTCGTAAGTTTTTGCTCTCAGATAGTAAAAACATTGCATTGACTATAACTCATAACTAACTCATTTGTGGCTTTGGGATTTTTGTTTTACCACAGGCCATTGGTCTGTAGCTTAAGTAGCCTCTCAAGGTTCACGATGGTGTTTTGGGAAGGAACGAGGCCATGCAGTGTCCTTCATGTCTGAGTGATGACTCAGAAGTGGTTCACACTATGTTTTCAATATGAGTTCTCTGGACCCCATTTGATTTTCTCCCTGATGCTCCTTGCATCCTCCTGTAGAGCTGGCTCATTTGGGTGGCAAATGAAGGACCGTTTTGCTGGCTGGCATAGCAGCACTGTGCTGGCTGTGCCTGAGATGGTTTTACGAGGGTCTTCTCCCTCCTCACAATTAACTCAGTGTATCTCCAAGTTCATTGGCTACAACCATATCTGTACCCTCTCCTTTTTTCTATCCCTCCTCTTTTCTAGCTGGCTCTGTGCTTTCTCTCCCCCTCATCCGCCCCCTCTTTCCTCCCCGGCTTCCACTGGCAGTCTCTAGCCCGTCATCATACATTTTTCTGGGAATAGGTCAATGAATAAATGTAACACAAATCAAAGCAAAAGTACTTTGCCCCGGAAGTTCTTTATCAAGAAAATGAATTCAATTTTGTTGTTGTTGATTTATCGTACTGAATAATTCTTTCATTCTGATCTAGAACAACAGAGTGAGACGTTTTATACTTCAAGGTGCTTGTTCATTGTTAGAACCCAAAGGCAATCCAGAGTAGCCAGCACCTCCATTCACTGCATTTGTCTACTAAATTCTAGCGAGTGATGCTGGATCCCATTGAACTGAATCTTAGAGCATTTCCGTGGTCAGCAGTTGCTTTCCCTGCCTCGTTTTCTCCTTATTGTATTGTTTACAGTTTCAATTTGGAACTTTCGAATCTAAGATTTTTTTTTTCCTTTCTATAATAGAAGCGACATAAGGCAGACCATGCAGTTAACAAAAAGAAAACGATAGGTAAGATACTGGGCCGATCGCTTTTTCCACTGGAAAACCTAAGAATAAGACCTGAGCTGAAGGAATTTCAAATAAGTAGTCAATGGTATTCAGCTAATCGGGGGGAAATGATCTATAAACACTTTAAAGAAAGAGCAAAATGACCAACCAATGCAACAAAATGTGAGTCCTGGCAATTATGATATAAATGGGATTTGTGTATTTTAGAATTTTAGAAAAGGTGGTAATTCCCAGGAGCTGACGTATTTTATATCAAAAAAAGTTCAAGCGTTCATATCTTTGGTTTATAATTGCTTTCTACGTCTCTCTATCTACTTTTTATTGTACTGACTTCTGGAAAATTAGCTCTGTGTTGTTGTGGTGTTTTTCTGTTTGTTTGTTTGTTTGTTTGTTTGTTTGTTATAATAGTAGGGTGATTTTTTTTCTTCCTGGGCTAAATATGAATAGATTTAATGTCTACACACAGTTATATTTGCATATATATATTAATGTATATGAGGTACATAAGTACACAGATTGGGACTCCATTTGGGGGAAGGGGGTATTGTACCTTTCTGTCTAAGGATGTAGTGTGTCGAGATTACTAAGTGGAATTTTAAAAGGAGCCTTGTGGATTTCAGAAAGCTGCTTTTATTTCGATTATCACCAGTGTTAACCGATATGTATTTTTTGTTTTTTCTTTTTCAGTGTTAAGAAATGGTATATGGCAAACCATTATGTGGAAAGAGGTAAAAACTAATTTTAAAGATATGCCAGAAAGTATTGGTTTGGAGACTTGTAATTAATTGCTAGTATTGATTACGGTATAAGTTTGTGTTAAGACTTAGGTCATCTCCGTTTAATGTAAGTTTTACATTGAGGAGTTTTCCGACAAGGTTTACTTAGAACCGATGATGCACGTTCACTCTGTTCCCTGCATCTTCTAGAAGATGCCCACCGTGTCAGTTCGGAGCTGCGAAATTCATCGTTCCCGATGGATGTTTCTGACATTTCAAAGCATTTTCTAGTTCCTAAGTCCAGTTCAAGAAACATTTTCCCTGGTCTTCTGTTCTCTTCAACTAAATTCAATTTTTAACAAAAAAATTTTTTTTTTTTTAAACTTTTGAGATTCTCCCTTCTAACATTTTTGGTGGAAAGGGCTTTGGGTTTATGATTACCATTTTACGTGAAGTGGTGGGGTAGGGGTTTGCGAACCGTCCCGTTTTGATTCTGAGGCAGGGGTGGTTGGGCATGACCACTGCTTGTCGCTCCAAGCTTTACGACAGCAAGAAAGGCTGGCCTCCAGGTCTGTCCCTGCAGGTAGGAGGTCTGCAGGGTTTGGGAAGAGTGTGGATTTTTGCGATGAATAGAAAATGTAGAAGAAATATGCTATACCTTCTAGGTTTCCCGTATGTGATGAAACTAGCTTTTTAAATGAGCCTGTTTTAGCTGGACCTCCTCCGCGGTCACAAAATGCTTTTGTGGGGGTGGCCAATCTCATTACTCCAGGATTCAAAGCTGATCGGCACGGTTTCCAAAGAAAGTTAATTTTCAGAAGGGTGACTTATAATAGTTTCTCTTGCTAAACGTTCGGTGAGCGATGTTTTACAATGCCCTTGTGATCTTTGAATCTGCGAGATGCCTGCGCCGTGGTGACTGCGGCCTTCATCTCTGTTTCTGTGTTGTTCTTACTTGTTATAGACACCCCTTTACAGTGTTTTGGGGTAGCGCCTCCGCCTCGGTAGCACCCCAGGAGGCCCGAACCGCAAGCATTGACTGACCTCACTCTCGTTTAGAAGTGTGGTAGTTCTTGGTCAAAATTATGGGCTTCCCAGGGAGAACGTGCCACCATTGCTATGGGAATACGCAGGTTCCCGTGGACTTAGGAACGGCTTGTTTCCCCAAGGTTCCTAGTGCCACCCCGTCCCCATCCCCAGAAAGGCACTACCACTGGCTGGAGTGGAGAACGATGTGGATTTGGGATGTTGGCACTACTCGAAACAGCAGGAAATGCAGTACCGATCCCAGAATTCTGGGCCCAGGAGTTGATGGAGTTGACAGCCTCGCAGACTCCTAAAGCTCAGTGCTGTTCCCCACACACAGTTAGAGGGAAAAACAAAACCAGAAACAAACCCCAAACCCCCAACCAAACACCTGTTATCCGCTTTGCCACATGCATGTTTATTTCAATTAAAAATGCATCTCGTTTGCGTATTTGAATGGCGCTCTCGCCTCGTACATCATGAAGCAGAGCCCTGCCCCTGCGGCATTCCCTCCAGTGGCTGTCGGACTTCAGCGGGTACCTCGGCCACCTGGAGGGCTGGCGCAGTGCAGAGAGCTCGGGGGGCCCCGCTTTCAGACGTTCTGATTTGGTAGCTCCAGGCGGGGGCCCCAGAATTTGCGTTTTTAACGAGTTTCCAAGTGAGGCGGAAGCTGCTGGTCAGGGGCCCTCACTACGGAACTGCTGACGTGGTGACAGTGACAGGCACCTAGCTAGTGTGCGGCGCAGGTGCTGAGCCCCGTGCGCGGGCAGGCTCCAGGCGCTCTGGGCACACCTGGGAGGGGCAGGCAGGGCTTCCCTCATGAGATGCTCTGATGCTCTCTTGAAGGATGAACAGGAAGTAAGCAGTTGAAGACAGAGGGAATTGGAGGAAGCTGCTGTGTTTGCAGGCGCATCAGCAGGACTGCTCAGAATAAGCATGAGAATATGGGAGAGGACAGATGACGAGAGAGCAGCATTAGCAGATGCCGGAGATGGCAGGCAAGGTGGAATTGGTGATCTTTAAGCTTCCCAAAGCCATAGCCGCTAGTCCAGATCACTGAAGCACAAGCGAGCCATCCCAGACTGTCGCTAAATCGTTGGTAAATGCTGAGAGGGAGGTCTGGGGTGGATGTCGGCAGCTTTGGTTGACTTTGAGACTTTTGGGCTATTCTTCGAAATTAAAAGACTTGAGGAATCCTCTGAGGCTGGTGTGGTCTCTTTCTACCTTCAGAATTCTTGCTCTAGGTAGCTTTGCACACACAAGGGACAACCAGAAATAAGAAAACCAAATAGAAAACCGTTTTTAAACAAAATTCCAAGTAGTTTTTCACGTACATGAAACTTCTTGGTACTTTGTTACTGGGATATAAATGTTTCTTTATTTTTATAATAAAGAGAGGAGAAAGGCATAATTTCTCTTGTCCTCCCACATCGAATTAAAAAAAAAAAATCCACTGCCTTTTTGCTTTCGGAAACATGATTAATTTTCCTTTCTGTTTTTTTTTTTTTAAACTAATTGCTGTTTCTGTCTCTTTTTTTAATGTAATTAAACTTTGTATAAAATGTTTTTACATTTAAAAACATTTTTAATTTTCATAGGCATTGCTTGCTTTTGTTCTGATGGTTAAAATAGCTCTGCAATATTTATTCTTTGACTTCTCTGTATTATGGAATATACTTTAATCAAATGCCTTCCTTTTGCCTTAAAACTGGATACCACTTCAGACGTACTGGAATTGTTCTGGAATGTAATTTCTACCATCCTTCTCTGTGTGGAGCCCAGTTCTTCAGACTTCCCCACATGCTTTGATAAACAATTCACAGCGCTAGTAGGACATTTTTCACTTAACCCTCCTTTTTCTTATAGAAAATTAAATATGGGACCGTGACAGGCCATGCACCCAGCTTGCAAGATCGAGTAGTTTTTCACACGCATTACGTCACGTGAAAGTCTTGATTTCTGGGATGATGGTAGCATGGGTTAGAATAAGAAACGGAAGGCACAGTGCCCATCTTGAGTTTTGAAATTGTTAGTGCACTAAGAGTGGTCTTTCTTTTTGTGCCCTCAGAGAATTCTGCCTCCTTCGACTTTCACACTCACAGTGCCCATTCCCTTACACGCGTGCTGGGAGAGGCAGGCGACATGTGCCTGATTCATGCCAGGTGCTTGCATCTACTTCCTTAATCACGCATCGACCCCACACGGTCAGTGGTCGTGTCTTCCTATTTTAGAAGCGAAGACACGGGAGCTCAGAGAGGTGAAGGGCTTGTCAAGACCCCAGATCTAGCGTGTCTGTGACGCTCGGATCTGAGCCTGGGCCTGTCGGGCTCTGTCCGGCCTGGTCTGTGATGTTATTGAAAGGATTTATAGACCCTTGACCATGGCAGTCATGTTCTGCACCTCGGGTTCTGTTCCAGTGGAATTCCAGGCTTGGGGTCTCTGTCCGATGGAGCCCGTCTCCCAAGGTGGTCTCTGACTTTGGCCGTGATTCTTTTCCTGGCAATTTCTTGAGGCTATACAGATCTTCTCTGTTTTATGTGATATATTTCCAGGGGACCTTTCCGATGGACTGTTCATGGGTGAATTTAGTATTTCCTTTTCCTCAGACCACTGGCCAGATCACTCAGTTTTGAATCTTGGTTCTAAGACACTCACCAGCTATGTGACCTTGACCAAGTTAAGTCGAGCCTCAGTTTCCCCAGTTGTAAAACGAAGAAAATTTACTTGTGTTACCTCCGTTGATCCTCACCGTGACCCCATGAACTGTACCATTATATAGACGAGAAAACTGAGGCACACAGAGCTTACACGACTTGCTCACGGTGACACACAGCTCAGAAGGGGAACACACCGCCAGGGGATTTGAACCCAGGGCTGTGCATTTAACCTCTCTACCCGACTGTGTACGGCTGTGGAATTGTCCCACAGTCGAAGCTGTGGAATTTGTAAGTGGATTAAAAATTGTAAGAAAACAAGACCTTGATAGTTCTGACTCCTCTTTTGCGCCCTCTCCCCCGTTTTTTTTTTTGTTTTTTTTTTTTTACTTTTTTGTTCAGCATTATTACGAAGAGATGATAGCCTCATTCATCTGTATCAAAAGATTTTCCTTTTTGTTTTTGTCCAGGAAAATAACTTGGGCTTCTCTGTCTTAAACTCCGTGGCGTAGTTACAGAGTAATTTTTATTCAACTATTTAAGCATGTTATTCGTTTTTTTGTGCTGTCTTTTCTTTCATGCGTCTCTGTCCCTGTCCCTTGGTTTTCTAGGTGACAGTGGGAGACATCGTGAAGGTTGTCAACGGCCAGTACCTTCCGGCAGACACAGTCCTGCTCTCCTCCAGGTCAGGCGTGAGGCACTGGGCACGTTTATTTTAAACGTTAAGAATAAACTATTAAACGGTGACTGCAGAAATCTCTAGCTGCCCTTTCTCTTCTACCCTGACTCGCCCGCCTTCTCTCCGGCCTGTTCTTCCATTACCTGTCGTTTGCCCTTTTCTTGCCTAAATCTCGAATTTTTTCTTTCTCCCGTTCATTCCTTTGTACTTTCTGCGAACTCTTTACATTTGGCCATTCATTTTAGTCTCACGGCGATTGGGGGCTGTTCTCGCTTGTAGGGACACGCTCAAGGGCCGTGGAGTGATTCCTTCAGTCACTTCTAGGTGGCAGCATAGCCGAGACTTCAGATCTAGGCTCCCGATGGGTCCAGCCCGCCGCCTACCTGCAGAACCCATTGCCCCCCTTTGCTAGCGACTCATTTGTCCACGTTTCGCTCCCTTTTATGCCAAGTATTATTGCCATGCTGTCTAGGTAGTTTTGTGCTAGAAAGGTATCATCACTAAGTGGCGTAAATAACGGACACTCAGTCCTTGACTTTTGGTACATAAGGCCATACATTGGAGAAGGAATGCTGAAATTAGAATGAGAATAGACTTGTACTGTTGAGTTCAAGGTTAAACAATATGATGCTAACACTAAGCTTCCTGTATTCCTATTGGGGAGCATAGATGCTCACACCATTGGCATTTTCTTTAATCGCAGGCAGTGTTTCTTTTATTGGACTTGATCGCACTTTAGATTTTAAGCCTTAGCGTGAATTTTCTGCTGGAGAGCAAAGGTTTAAAAACAGACCCCAGGCCTGTAGACGGGCAGAAGGACCACGTACGTGGGGCAGCATTCGTGTTTGTCCCTACCAAATGGTCACAGAGAAGTGTGGTTCCCTGGTTGTCTGGGACCTGAGGTTTGGTTGTGGCCCTCAGACGACCAGGTTGGAACATGAGATTGTCTGTCGGAGCCACCATCACGTTTTCGGGGTGCTCGTCCGTCTGTGAGTCTGGGCTTTGTGCCAGGCAGCCTGCTGAGCACACTGTCCCATTTAAGCTCCCAGCTCCACATGCAAAAGGCAGAGCTGGAACACCTGCCGAAGCTGTGTGACCGATGCCGGCAGCGCCAGGGCGTTTTCGCTGGGCTGGTGGCTCACGGAGCCCGTTCGCGGAGCTGTCAGCTGTGCTCCCTAAGCCGAAGGGCTGCCATGCTTATTTCCATTGTTTGACTTTTCCATCCTTAAAATCAGGTATTTGATGACATAGTGGAAGGCGCAAGGTGAGTAAAGCTTCACCAAGCCTCTGCCTTGATGCCTGAACCCTTCTGGCTGTAATTTTCTGTGAAAGGCATGTTTGTACTCGCCGTGCCAGGGAGGCCCTTTCAGTCTCAGACTTTAGGGGTCACCCACCTCCGTGGGTTGGGTCTCAGCTGGAGCATCATGTGCTTGTCCTAACTGGTCCCTCCCTGATTTCACCCTCTGTCATTTCCGTTGACTCGAGGCCAAGTGGCCCTTATGTGGGGCCCATAAGGCATCGGGCAAACTACTTTGTATTGGTGTTGACCCCAAAGATGAGTGTCTATCTTTCTACTCAATCGCTACCACTCAAGTGGTTGTTTATGCAGTTGACCTTGAGCACCATGGGTTGGAAGCGCGTGTGTCCACTTTTATGTGGATTCTTTTCAATAAATCCTGTCCTGTTCTCCATTGATGGCTGGGAGTCTGGGGGCCGGCTGATTTGTGGACGGGACCTTACTGACTCGAGTGTTTTCTCTCTCTCTCTCTCCGTAGTGAACCTCAGGCAATGTGTTATGTCGAAACAGCTAATCTAGATGGAGAAACAAACCTTAAACTACGTCAGGTAAAGTTACCATTTTTGACTTGTGTTGTGAGGAGGCCCACATTTCAACTCTGTCATCCCCACATGTACCAGTCAGTGATTTTTCTAGAGGGAAAAAAAATGTTCTGCCATAAAAGATCACACCTTAACCCTCATGGTGTCTAGGGGAAGAACATGCCGTTTATTATGAAGGGAACACCTCGAGAGTGATAGCAGAGTGAAAAAAGTGGGCTTCGTCCAAGTCTATTAATTCTAGAATGAAAAATCTTTTTAATACTATAGACATTTGACGCTTGATCCTTAAATTTTATGCTGCATAAAGATGATTTTGATAATTCTGTCCACTTATCTTTCTTTTCACCTTGGATATTAGATTTGGATTTTTTTTTTTTCCTGTTAAGAGTTACTGGGTGGTAGATGTCATTCTGTATGAAAGGGATACTTTGTTCTGTTTATGACCGGTGCCGGAATATAGCTAAAGAGGGAGTTTGAGTCGGCCAATCATTATCAAACATGATGTGTCCAGCACAGTGGTGAATCGGAGCTTTCAGCTTCCTCGAACTCTTTGGAAAGTGGGCATTAGGTCGCTGTCTGTGCAAAAGCTGCCTCCACATCACGCGTGAGGGCCGGCAGTTTGATCTCTTAGCCTCCTGGATGACTCGGTTTCAGATGATTCCTCACGTCCTTCAGGCTGACAGCCTACACCTGAAAGACTGTATTCAGTTTTCTATCTCGGTTTAACATTTTAGGGTCTGAGTAACACCGCCGACATGCAAACGAGGAAGGAGTTGATGAAGTTATCTGGAACTATCGAATGCGAAGGACCGAACCGCCACCTCTACGACTTCTCTGGAAACCTAAACTTAGATGGGAAAAGGTGCCGCTTTCCCTTTTCTTAGTGTGTGTGGTGTTTTGTTCTGGGTTTTTGTTTTTTTTTTCCCCCCTCCTAATGGGACTAAGAATTACTAGAGCTTTGGAAAATATCACTTTGTTTCCTAGTTTTGTAATACTTCAAAAATAGTGAGATTTCTTCATGTTGAGCTTAGATAGCAGACTGAGCTTTTCCTGAAACAAGATTTCAGTCAGTTTTAACTTTCCCTTAAATTTAAGGAAAGAATAGATTTTTGTGAAGAAAAACAGCCAGAGGGCCTTGAAAAAGGTTCACAGCCCTGGCCTGTTCTTTCTGTATATATTAGCTGCCAGGGAGGAGAGATGGTTTTGACTGCATAAAAATTGTCCAGAAAAGCAGAAGAGAGGTGTCTGAGGTGTATAAAAGCTAATATATTTATTAGAGAAGCTTTTTTTTTGCTAACATTCTTTTAAGTAGTATTCGATTCTAGAAAGTTGAATGAAAGGAACAACAATTATTATTTTTTTTTTGGAATATTCAGCACCCTGTTGTCTATATTCTGTTGTCTTTGTCCTCTTGGCATTGTTTTATTGTTGGAGAATCACTCCTTGTCGTTATGTTGGGATGCAGTTTCTACCTTGGGCCCATCTTTAGTCTGCACGCTTCTTCCCAGTGCTTCCCGCCTTTATATTTTGAACAGACCCAAAGGGAAGGACCTGATCATAGGAATCTACCCCTAGATAACCATGATGACACCTGTGACTAACTGCATCTTGGTTTCTAGTGGGTATGCAGAGCCGTTCCGTAGGCTCCCGTTTTGAATTTCTACATTATTCCTCAGCTTTTTATCCAACCATTAAGTCATCCTTGACAAATTTGATATGACAGCTTTATTGCTTCCTCCCCGCCACCCCGCTCCCCCCCGATTACCATAGACTATAAAATAAACTAGGTTTCCCAATTGAGTAAATTTCTGGTTATTTTAGCAATTTTCTTTTTGAGTATTGAGCTTCATAACAGAGTTATGAGAGACAAAATTCCCGCTGTCATTTTATAGGAAAAACAATTTTTTTCCTGTAGTGATGAATGGATAAGACAAACTTGTTTTGCGCTTTTTTTTTTTTTTTTTTTGGTGGATTAAGCCAGTGGTAACCTTTATTGCCTCCCGTTTTTCAGTGTAAAAGTTCATATGTGAAAAGGAAACATTCGATTTGTTTTGGGTTTATGTTTAAGGGGGAAGCTCATGCTCATTTGTCAGACTATGATTAAATATAAATGTTGTTTCTTATTTTTAGCTCGGTTCCCCTTGGGCCTGACCAGATCTTATTAAGAGGTACACAGCTTAGAAATACTCAGTGGGTCTTTGGCATAGTTGTTTATACTGGACACGACACCAAACTCATGCAGGTAAAACATTTCTATGCTGAAAAACAATGCTGGTTCTAGTCGTTTTTTTTTTTCTCTCTCTGTTTTTATTGCATAGAGTAGAAATGCAGACGTCGCATTTAGGGAACTCAGATTTGTCTATGAACCTAAATTTATTTTGGTTCTTTAGGTAGTATCTCCTGGAATTCTGTCCTTGTATCAGATATGTGTTACCTCTTACTTGAAATATCAATGGTCTTTGTTTCCCGGATTTTCGGGGGACAGTCAGTCTGACTTATTTTATCTTTTGGACATAAGCAGGAACTTGTTCATTTCTTTCTTTCTTTTTTTCTTTCTTTCTTTCTTTCTTTCTTTCTTTCTTTCTTTTTTTCTTTCTTTCTTTTCTTTTCTTTCTCTCTCTCTTTTTTTCTTTTTCTTTCCTTCCTTCCTTCCTCTCTTGCCACTTCTGCTCCTCATCACATTAATCAGGGTTTTACAGTAAATTGTCTTATTTAACTGAATTCCAGACAATATAAAATCACTAAGTTTTAACTGATGTTTATTCTTCATTCACCAAAAAAAAAATAAGTTAAAATGATTTTGCTCTTTCTCCTTGTTAATGTGTTTTAAATTATTAGTTGCAAATTTGCAGCTGACATCTATATTATGACATATTTTGCCAGATAACTTTCAAATTCCGCAGAAATCAATATCTCTGTGTGTCATTTCTTATAGTTCTTTGGTATCACTTGGCATCTCATTTTACTAATGGTCGCTATTAATGAGAACTGGCTTTTCAGCTTGTCTTCCTTTTGTATGATTTCAAAATTACATATTTAACTATATTTCCTAATTTAAAAATGTTTAGTGACCCCTGTGCACCAAATCTTGTGCCCAGCTGTATGGAGACAATAATAAAAGGCCTGGTTTTATGCTCTGGGAGCCCCACAGACTACGGAGTAATAGGGACAAGGTCCCTATTATGACAATGTTTTGGGGTGCATACAGAAGGGTCAACCAAGCCAGGTTTAGGCTATTGACTGGCTAGTTACTAGGAATGATGTTAAGAAGCACGTTTTAGATGTGGGCTTGGAGAAGGGAGGCTATTATGTTGATCCACTCTTCAAGGTCAAATGATGTAGGAGGAGAGAGTTAAAAACCTACCAGGACAGGTGCGGTGATAGACCCCAGTTTCCACACCAGCTGGGTCATGTAGTAGAGACAGAGGAGAGAGGTGGGGTGGGTTAGGAGAAAGGAAGGGTCGGGAGACTCACTGAAGGTGAAGAAGATTGTTGAAGTTGCTGAGTGACAGCTTCTCAGTGTGTAGGGTGCTTGTCTTTGGGTTTCTGGGGTGAAGGGACATGGGAGCAGGAAGCTGAAGGTCGAGCTATTAGAAGCTGTTTGATGTTGAGCATTAAGGGCTGAGAGACTAAGGCATTCGATGAGGCTGCTGCTGTGGTTTTGAAGATTGGTTAATGGCAAGGCCGGGCTAGAGACAGGTACCGTAGCCTGACTGCTCAAGCCTTCGGGGAACAAGGGGGAGTGCCTGAGAAGTCAGACTTGCTGAGGAAAGAGACAGAATACTGTGTAGCCACATGGCATGAGTTTTACAAGTGGGTTTTTTAACCCGGCATTGGAGGAATAAAGTGTTGAAAGTATTACTGGGTCCCACATACGCACTCGGTAGTATTGTCTTCAGATTCCGAGGGATGCAAGTCTTTCCTGGAGCAACTTCTGCTTGAGGGGGCTTCAGGAAGGAGCATCCTCGCTGGGCAAGGCACGAGGCAGGGGAGCAGCTTCCCAAGGAGGGCGAGGACAGAGGCATTGGTCTCAGAGTGGTAGGGCCACCCCCGCCAGCCTGGTGTGTTGGAATGGTTACAGAGGGTGTGCGTGTGGGAGGGGACCCGCGGCAGCTAAAAAACCTGAGTAGTTGGCAAATGCTGAGAGGCGGTTCTTGGACGGATGAAGATCACTCAGCGTATCTGAGATGTGCCCGGTCCGTCTTCCCACGAGGTCCTCGCCCATTCACAGGCGCGGAGGAGAAAGCTTTAAGTTTGTCGGTTCTGAGCATTCTGTATGCGAAGACTTTATCTTGATGAGTATGTGAGCGCTCTGCTACCTGGTAGGTGCTTTCCGCCTTCCCAAGCCCAGGGCCCCTGTCTGACACTTCTGGAGCTCCGCCAAGCACTGATCACTTCCGTTTTTTTATGAAGTGATGCAGAGATCACAAAGATCTAGCTCCGCTTTGGGCAGGGCCCCAGGACTAGTTTTCAGATTATGTGTATTTCAAACTTAACCACTCTCCACGATTTCCTGGGGGCGCTGGTTGTCTTCTCGGGGTGTGATCCTGCATCTCTAGATCATACTTGGGTCATATGGCTTTGTGGCTGAGATGTGAGAGATAACTAAGTTAAAACGATCCCATCATCCCTTAGTGAGCAAGGCATACACTAAGTCGCCTTATGGAGTTGACATCCATGAGTGTGATGGGCATTTCTCCTTGCACCTGGATGTGACTGAGCTCTTTGCTAAGGTTATTACAAGTTGACTCTTCGAGTACAGAATAATGGGTGGCCCCAGAAACATCTGTGCTAGACTCGCTGTGCCTTTGGGGCTGAAACAACAAGTCCAGAAAACGAGCTTTCAAAAGGAATAACACACAGAGCCGGAAGCCATCCCGTTTGTGAAATAACGTTTTTCATCCGAACTTGTGCATTTCGACCACAGAAAGGAAACACAATCGCCTTAGGCCTTCTCTGCTTTGTTTTTCAAACTCTCACCTCAGTGCCTCCTACTCTTCACGGTTCCCTCGCTTTATGGTCAGTGCAGTTACATGTAGAAATATTTCATGTCTAATCCTTTCTGCTGGTTGATTTAATGGGAAAGAGAGAGATGATCCCAGTAATGACAGCGAATACTTAGTGTCCATGTCCCCTTCCAAGCGCAAACTCATTTATTCCCCCACAATGGCTCTGTGAGGAGGATACTGTTATTTCCATGCTTTAGACGAGGACACTGAGGCCCAGAGGGTCTGAGTAAGTCGCCAAAGGTTCACAGCCAGTAAGAGAGAGAGCACTGGGATTCACACCTTGGCAGTCTGGTTCCCGCGTCCGTTTGCCTAACTAGTATTCCACTGACGGCTTTCTGAAGAGGAAATGAAGTGTGTAAAGTTCAGGGCAGATATAAGCTTTTACAGAATCTGACATTTTGGCCTGTTTCTATTAGGAACTCCATTACTCAGAAGTAGCAGTGCTTCCTGAGAATTTAAGAGAACTTACAATGCTGGTCAGAACTTCCCGTTACAAGCTCGTCATTGTTAAGTTGAAATGGTCAGCGGATGGGCACAAAAGGGCAGAGCCGGAAGCCCCAAGCTTTGGGCTCGCCTCCCGAGAGCCGATTGTCACCATGACAATGCACACGGTTAGGCCTAACGCAGCGCGGAGTGGGTCTGCTACAGTTCTGATGGTAGTCGGATATAAAGGGGTGAGGTCTCCCAGCAGGGCAGTGTCCCTTTCTGTAGGACACTGCAGGAGGCTCTAGAGGAGAACCTGTGCCTTGCCTCTCCCAGCCCTCCAGAGGCTGCCCGGATCTTGGCTCACGACCCCCGTCCCCCATCTTCAGAGGCAGCGGTGTGCATCTCTTTGGCCATCCTTCTGTAGTCACAGCGGTCATTCCCATCGCCCCGTGACTGTAACTGGGGAGGGATCTCTCCTTTTCCTGCTCTTAAGGACCCATGTGATTAAATTGGGTCTATTCGGATAAGCCAAGGTAATCTCTCCAAGTCAAGGTCCTTAATTTAATCACACCTGCAAAGTCCCTTTTGCCATGTAAAGGAACATATTTACAGGGCCCAGGTATTAGGGTAGGGACATCACTGGGGGAGGGGGACCTTGTTCCACCCACCAGTACCATCTTCAGAAAATTTTTAATGAAATGACTTCAGGTACATGCCTGTCTAGTGCAAACAGTTCTGTTGGCTTTGCCACTGCAGAGAAGATCGTCTCCCCAGTGTTCCGCCTGGTATGCGGTGGCGATCCTTGAATCTGGCTTTAACGAGTCTTTCTGAACTCGCTTCTAAATGCTGGCCTCTGTTTGAGCAGGGCTGGCTTCCCCAGCAGCAGTGACAGACGCAGCCAGCTAGGCTGCCTCTCTGCTCTCGTCCGCTTTCCCGTTTGCATCCGGTTTGTGGTTTGGGAGTCCGTTCAGGTTTCCACTGGCCACCCGAGCGTCCCCGACTCTTCCTGCTTGTTTTATGTCCGGTTTTGCAAACGAATTCCTTGTCTAGCTATTTATTTTGACACATATTAATGTTCCAGTTTGCATGATAGATGTGTATGTGTTTGTGTATGTCTCTTTTTTTTTTTCCCTCAATTAAATTGGAAG